ACTGAAATAATTAATATGCTTAATATTCATGGTGGGGAGAGGAGAGGCATGACAGGGCAAGGATGTCAGCAGGAGGAGAAGTGGCACTGGTCCGTTGCTCACATGAAGGAATTCCCCTCTACCTCTACCACCAGGCCACTGAGATTTGTATTTCACTCCTTTCCCCACAGACTTATTTTTGTTGTTCAGTCGCACAGTCGAGTCCGACTCTTCACGACCCCATGGACCAGATCACACCAGGCCCTTCTGTTTTCCGCCGTCCTCTGAAGTTGGCTCAACTTCATGTTCGTTGCGTCGATGACACTGTCTAACCATCTCATCCTTTGCCGTCCCTGTCTTCTTTGACCTTCAATCTTTCCCAGCATCAGGGTCTTCTCCAGTGAGTGCTCCCTTCTCATTTGCTGGCCAAATTATTTGAGCTTCAGTTTCATTATCTGGCCTTCCAGGGAAGAGTCAGGGTTGATTTCTTTTAGGATTGACTGATTTGATCTTCTTGCAGTCCAAGGGACTCTCAAGAGTCTTCTCCAGCACCATAGTTCAAAAGAATCTATTCTTCGGCGCTCGGCCTTCCTTATAGTCCAACTCTCGCAGCCATACATGACTACTGGGAATACCATTGCTTTGACCATGCGGACTTTTGTTGGCAGGGTGATGTCTCTACTTTTTATCATGCTGTTTAGGTTCGCCATCGCTTTCCTCCCAAGGAGCAGGCGTCTTTTAATTTCATTGCTTCTGTCACAGTCTGCGGTGATCTGGGATCCCAGGAACGTGAAGTTTGTCACTACTTCCACGACTTCCCCTTCTATTTGCCAAGGAGTGATGGGGCCGGATGCCATGATCTTAGTTTTTTTCATGTTGAGCTTCAAGCCCACTTTTGCGCTCTCCTCTTTTATCCAGAGCAAGAGGCTCTTTAGATCCTCTTCACTTTCTGCCATTAGAGTGGTATCGTCTGCATATTTGAGGTTGTTGATCTTTTCCCCAGCAATCTTAATTCCTGCTTGTGATTCATCCAGGCCAGCATTTCGCATGATGTACTTTGCATATATATTAAATAAGCAAGGTGACAATATACATCCTTGTCGTACTCCTTTTCCTATGCTAAACCAATCAGTTGTTCCATATCCGGTTCTGTCGCTTCTTGACCCTTATACAGGTTTCTCAAGAGACATATGAGATGGTCTGGTACTCCCATCTCTTTAAGAACCTGCCATAGTTTGTTGTGATCCACACAGGCTTTAGCATAGTCAATGAAGCAGAAGTAGATGTTTTTCTGGTACTCGCTTGCTTTCTCCATAATCCAGCAAATGTTGGCAATTTGATCTCTAGTTCCTTATAGTGAAAGCAGAAAGTGCATTATGAAATGCATGAATTATTGCTGCTGCAACCAGGCTGCTCACTGAATCCAAAGTCAAGCCTGCCTTTTTTATTGTTTTTTCTGTTGCGAAAAGTCTTCTCCTAGCCAAGCGTTGATGCCTCCTGTCCTTACTTCCACAAAACTACCCCACAGTCCTTCACACGTGTTGTCCACTCCTTCTTCCCACCCCCACACTCCTCACAAGGATTTAAGTCAGAATTGTTTGCTCTGAAAATGCAGTATTTGCAGAAAACAATAAGCCTGGTTGCAGTGGTGCTGCAAAAGAACTAGACTGGCACTTGGCTGATTATTCCTTCAGCTTACCTAACACACACAGGTCAGGAAATCAAGGGAACCCTGCCCACCACCACCACCACCACCCCGCCCTGCTGCTGCCTGGCTCCCCTACACAGCCCTGAGCAGGAGTGTTAAGTGTTTTTACAGGACATGCTGTGAACATCCAGAAGAAGGTGGAGCACCTTTTAGAGCTAATGAATTGCCCAATACTACCCAATTGTTTATTTCACACCAGGAATTTCCATCTTATTAGAAGAGCTGGATGAAGTTATTTGAACAGAACTAGGTGTCCAAGTTAAATATTTTAAGAACGCACCTGAGAATTTTTCTGATGTGCATACTGAAATGTTTATTTTAAATGTACAACATTGGCAACCTTTTCAGAGAAGTCAGTTTATTCAGCAACTTGAAGGCTACAAGGGACAGCCTGATGCCTACCTAGAGCGATAACATTCCAAGTCCCACCTGCCTCTTGACAAAAGGTACTCAGAACTTTGGAATTTGAGCTGAAGACAGTAGTAGAATGAATATATATATATGGCTTGTGATAGTGGCTAGGGTCCTCTGAAAAAAATCTCTCCTGATGGGACTTTCACCAATGGAGTGGGGCCCTTACCACCCCCCTCTAAATGCAGCCAAAAATGCACTTTAAAATACTACATCTGGGGGAGAGGGGACACCCAGGAACAGAATGGGGAGGGGGGGGGTTGGAATTGCAAGTTGCTTACACTTCAGCCATTACAGAGTTAAATGTTGTTTGTTCGGAAACAGGATGTTACTGTTACATAATGTATTCAACGGTGGGAAAGTTTGTGGGAGTTGTTTGTAGAAATGATTTGATCTAGCATTAATGTATTCACAAGGTTTATGGCCCTTGGTGCGAACCAAAGAGGTAGTTCTCTTCTAGAAGCCAAGACAGATAGAAAGATGTAGATGTTAGCATATATTACTGAGAGTAGCTGCAAGTATGTAAACTTTTATTTTATTGATTTTATCCAAAGTACCATACCCATGTTTTATTTTGTTTTTATAGTAAAGATATTTTTCTTTTACTAAGTGTGGCTCGTGGTTGCAATGAAAACATCGAATCCCAACAGGGGGGGAAGAGTCAGACTCTGTGGTGGAAGGGGAGAATCAGCAAAGATCACCCCCGCCCTTCCATTAGTAGACATTTAATACTGGATCCAAACCCAGAATTTCTCAGCCTTATTAGGATGCTGTGAACACGGGATGGGGCAAGCCCCATAAACACTGCCCTGAACTCCTTGAAGAAGATCCAAAACAGTTATCAAATGAACAGTTTTCTTGTTGTCCAGGTCTATGTACCACTTAGTTTTAACTAACATTTCCTTGTGTGTTCTCTCTCCCTCCCTCCCTCCCTCCACACACACAGACACACACCCATTACAGAGAGAAAACAAATGAGGCTTTTGGATTGTCGGCCCATAGTTCTTTAAGGAAGGCTGTGGCTTGGTTGGGTGGTCTACTGAAATCTCTAGTGTAATGAGAACAGCAGATATTTCAAAATAAAAAGTATTGGTGTGAAATGATGCTTTGGCTTCTGAAGCAAACATTTTAATCGATTTGCTAAAAAGGACGGATTGTATTAGCAGGTGATATTTTTAAAACTTCAGGAAGATAAAAAGTTTATACTTAGAGTATTATGCACAATTCAGCAAGCCAGCCCAGTTCTTGACAGTTTATGGCATAATTCTGCTAGGTGGAGCCATCTTCTTTTATAGTGAATGACTCTATTGGAGCCGCTTTAGAGCACTTTATACACTAACTACTGGCAAAGAGTGTAGTCTGGATCACTAATCACACTTCAAGGAGGAGATGCCGAGGAAAAAGAAAAGCCAGGGTAAGAGGCAAGGCAATACTTTTAAAACAAAGGAGGAGGACATAATCAGAGAGATTAGAGAAGAACTTGGGAGTCTGCACGCAATCGATATTCGTGCTAGCCAAAACATTGGTAATATGTGGACTACTCTGGGGAAGTGTAAGCTAAGGATGTGTAACAAAATTCTCCCCGTCCAAATTCCTCCATGGATCCTTGTGTTCTAAAGTACTTCACCCTGTTTGTAAAGTGGTACCAATGAACAGCAACACACTGGTCATCTACTTTTGATTCCTTGGCTTGTTTTACGACATATAAGCTGCAACCCTAAGAGTGCTTTCCTGGGAGTAAGACCCACTGAAAAAATTTGGACTTTATTTCCAAGTAGACCTGCTTAGGGTTGCTTCCACATGCATGCACAATTTTGATGCAGTTGTCAATTTGTACCTTTCTTCTTTACAGGTTACCTGTGTGCACTGATGTATAATGTGTAAAACCCTGTAAGAAAAGGGCAAGAAAGAAACAGCTACACATTCCTGTTTTCCCTGGTGGACAAAATGGCAGCCTGGGGGATAATTTAGATTACACAAAAAAAAAAAAGGAGGAGGAGGAGGAAAGGAAACAATTAAACCCCTTCCTTACTCTGAGTCAGAGTCCAACATGGCTGCAATTTAAATATTTTTTTAAAAATCAAGAAAACCAGTTGTAAATCTATCATTACATAGTTTGGCTCTTTGGTTTCAGTCTCACTTTCATTCTGTTTTTCATCCCAATCCTGGAGACCATAAAGGAGTATCCAAAAGTCCCCAAAGGCTGATTTTCAAGTCCTCTGCCCAGAACATGTGAGCCAGGGTTGATGCAGATATGACATAGAGCACAGAGAGGGAAAAGAGGGCATATACAAAGCCACTCTGTGTAATCTTTAGATCAGTCAGTCAGGTTCTTCTCTGAGCTGGGTCAGATAAAATCAGGGATTACACAACTCCCTGGCTCCCGAGGCTCAGGAGTTTGCTAACCTCTTTCATGTTGACTAGCTCCAGGACTGGAGCCTTGAAACCAGTCTTTGGAGGCTTTGTCTGACCTTTGACAAAATTTGGGTGAAAAGCAGCAAAACATCTGACTTTCATGCAGTCTGCTTAGTATTTAATTGAAAAGTGAAACATGAAGATCAAAGCTTATGGAAAAAATTTGGCTCAGTTTTTGTTTTTACTTGTATTGGTCCACAAAGAAAGCAGAACCAGGAAGGCACTTTCCTATAGAAGCCAGCACATGCCCTTAGAAAGCAAATATCACTAACATTTATTCTGCATTTCAGACATTAGCCACTGCCTCATTTGCTTTTGTTAATGTTCTTTTAGAGGTTTTGGTGAAGCAACTTTCAATAGAAGGCCATATGCAGAGACAGAATACTAATTCACAGAACTGCATGACTGGTTCTTCATCCTTCTTCACACTAGGCTGAACATTGTAGTTTTCCACCAAGTACTGATCAGCTTGTTGTCATCTGCCATGTTAGGAAGCAACTTGAAATCTCCTCCTAGAGATGGTTGAATTTCTCTGAAATGATTTCACGTGGAATTGTGAGCCTGTAAGCAAAAAAAACAAACACTATTGGGTGTCCAATGATACAGTTCATTCAGACAAGGAAAACCTATGCTGAAATTCTCTCGACAGACAGCCTTGTTTTCTGCTTCAACTTCCATTCTATAAAATAGGAGCAATGCTGTTTTACATCCAAGGAGACTGAGAGGATGCTGCATAAGGTAAAGCCAGTAGATCATCTGCTCCTTAACTTTGCAAGCAAGGCTGCAACCCCTGATTTTGTCTGACCAAGCTTATGGCTCTCCTGTCTAACTGTGCTGAAATTTAGAAAGAACTGCTCCTTACAAGCCTGTCAATGTTTCAGATCAGTCTGCTAAATTCAGCCATACGCTCACCCAGATTGCCTGTTTAACCTTCGTTGCCCAAGTACCCCAGCTCCTAAAAGCTTTCTACTTCCCTTCTTGTCGATATACAGCCTCTCTTATAATGATCTTGGCCTGAAGGTTTGCTCCTGCACTTTCTTCTTCTTAGCTACTCACCCTCCCAATGTCTTGCTTCCCCTTTTCTATAAGCCACTGCCTTCTAGCCACTTCTTCCTTGGCTCTCCACTTCTCAGGCTGTTGTCTGTTCATTCCCGATCCCACAATCTCTTCCCGCCCCCAAGGTTTCCTGTCTTCAGTATCACTGACTATCCAGTCAGTGATCAGGCATCATTCCCCCCCCCCATTCGTGGTCCTCCTGTCGCTAGCCCTTTGTGAAATAATTGTCCCAGACTGCTGCCTTCTTTTCCTCAGTCTTAGGGTTGCCAAGTCTTCTTACCTTGGCTGCGGGGGAGCCTCACCGGGCTTCGGGAGCTCTCCGGCAATGCGTGCGCGCGCACGCAAAGCGCACGGCGGCGCCAGCATGTCACAGGAAGTGACGCACTACGTCGCTCATGTTGAGGGCATGGCCCAGATCATCGGAGGGAAAACCATAGAGTTTTCCCTCCAATGATCGGGCCACGTCCCCAACGTGAGCGACGTGGTTGCGTCACCTCCGGTGACACAGCCACGCTGCACTTCGGGGGGCGGAGTTCCCCCCGGGGCCCGATTCCGCGGCGGCGGGAATACATCCAAATAGGGGGTTTACCCGCCCCCTGCCCCCACTTGGCAGCCGTACTCAGTCTCCTTTCATTATCATTATTATGATCATGTTCTTTTACCCCCCCCCTTCTCACTGAGACCCAAGGCAGATTACAAGTATGATTTAAAAAAAACAACTTTTCAGTCAGTTAGTAAATGGATTACAAGAATGTGGGAACATTTGAACCTAACAACAAAAGATTCCTAGTATGAAGGCTAGGATTGTAGGACTGGGGAGAAAACAAAAAAATGCATGTAAACATATCTTCATGTTTAAGGCACTAAGACAATCAGTGTAGAGAAGACTTTAAGAGTCACCTCCTGAACTATTACACCTCAGCTTTGCTCCTTTTACAATCCTGGTTTTGCACATTTTGCAAAATGATAAAAGAGCAGTCACTCCTCTGCTCTGGCTTCTGCCTCCTCTATCTCTGTTCAGGTCCTGTGAAATCTCTGCCCCCTTCCTTTAGCTCCACATCCTGTGGACTTCTGTCTCCTGGGCCCTGTTTTCATCCAGCTTTCCAGCTCTCAGCATCTCTGTCTACTTATGCAGCTCATTCTGTACCAAGATCCAGTGTGAGGCTGCGGTCACACATGCTAGTTGAAGCATAGGGGAAGCGAGGCTATTTCCTCCAAAGGAATTTGACAAGCAATTGCGAGATGACACATCCCTTTGTAGGTGCGGGCACAGCCCGTCACTGTGTGATTAGACACAAATGCGGGTGAGTCTCTCTTTTTTTTTTTTTGGCCGTTTGTTTCCCAAGTGCATAAATGAGAAATCACACCTCCACACTGAGGGCCCCTTAGAGTATGCGATGATGCACATACTGCAAAGGAGGGG